AGAGTTTGAATACTTTAAATATCTGGATGCACAAGATCTGCTTAAAAATCGTGGTAGCTATGTTTCAGAACAATCAAACAGAAACAAAAAGTTTTATTATTCTAGGACAGCCTAAAGTTTGAGTATGTTAAATATTTTATCAGGCATGAATTTGTCCGAGTAGGTACTTGTTAGAGAAGGAGTCTCCACCGACCATCGCCAAGAACGAGAGAATTAAAGATAGTCAGCTGGCGAGGGCCGGTATTTTAGTTGCGTGTAAAGGAGCTCCTCCAACGGTAGCGTCCAATGCCTGAAATGCATGCGTGAAATGAGTTCTTAACGCGAATGGGATTTTTCGTAAGAAGGTGTGTAACGTGTTATTAAAACAAGACCGCCGCTGTTACGCTCGCTGTGTACGCCAGTAAATAAATAAAAAGGCGCGCCATTTCGGCCGAACAATTACGGCCGGCCGAAAAAACGAAATGTGTAACCCCCTTCCCCCACTGAAATAACTTCTTCCCCTCCGTTTATAGTGGCGATATCCAAGCTTGTTTGCAGTCTGTTACGAAATAGCGTTCTTTCGATCGTACTCGGTACATTTCAATATCGGTTATAACTGCAGTTAAACCACATGAGAATCATTCACACCGTCGAGATCTCAGACCAACAATACACCTACATTAGTAAGAACGAAATATATGGACGCGGTGGTAATTACCAAGGAGTAATTCATAAAAGTCGGAAAAACGACGGCGGGGTAATTACGAACGGAAAAGAAAAAAAAATACTTATAGAAAAATCTTGAGAAGTTATAATTAGTGGTGCGCGATTGAGATAGGTAATTGTAGCTGTGCATTACGGACTCGGACATTATAAAAAAGCTATTCGATATGGACTTTGAAAAAGTTTAGACGTATTTTACGTAATGTCATCGACGACAATGTTGATTATCATTTTTGAATAATGTACTACGTTTATCGCGCGATTGGAGTGATCGTTTTCGTCGTTTAATATTCTCTTGTGGCGTAATACATATACATGTACAAAATTTTATAAATCACAAGAAGTACCATGTTATTATACACTAATGTAGTGAATAGTTAATGTTTTAACTGATCAGATCAACGGCAATTTTATGTAAATACTTAAAAACATGTATTCTCTGCAAGAAATATGAATGTATTTTTTAATTTAACAATCGAAGTAACCTAGGGCTGCAATTGCAGTAATTTCTGCTTCTACAGAACAACGTCGTTGAGACGTAGATGCAATAATACAAACTTGAAGTGTATGTACGAATTTTCTGCACAGAAAATTGTATAGAATCTACGATGACAAATAAAAAAGGTGAACAATTATGTATTCCTAAGACAAAAGTGACCAGCACAGGATTATAGCAACTTCAGAAAACGGAATACCGCCAAGAAGACAAAATGGAGGATATCTAACACTTTCACGGCGATCATTCTTCAAGTCCCATTTATGGGGACTATCGTTTCCAAAGTTGGAACTGCAGAAGTTGGTTTCGAAATTCATACGATTTATCTCTTAATTACTCATAGGAACGAAAACACGGAACTCGTTCTATTACTTACAAAGTTCCCGAAAACAGAGGCGCATCACCAAGGGAATCGTGTCAAACATATCAAAAGTGGATTCACCTCCGGCAAACAGTCGTCGAGACATCCCCATATATGTCTTTCGCATGCAACCACCATATCACCGCGTGATAGAATATCGCAGTGTTCTATCGCAGTTTTCACGTATCGCCCATTGAACTATGTCGTTCCTCCACCGAACAACACCAGGTACAACATGAACAACCTCGCTACGAGAGACCTGGAACAATCGAAGATAAAACAACCGTCGAATCGCATGTCACCGAAACGTTTCGATCAGTGGTTGTGATCCATTTTCGGTGGATTCGAGGCGATATCGTGTCCGGTGATTGCCGGGAAAAGTGTGCAACATATCGCAGTCGGCCGTCGATGCCGATCGCGAGATCGACTTTCGGCGCTGAATGTCACCTCCATATCGGTAGCATGTCTGAAGTCGCTTCTAGAATGGCGGATATTGTTTGTGCCTCGCGATCTGATAACGTTCACCAAGAGAATTGTCTTCAGATAACAGAAATGTGCCTCTACAATTCCTGCAGATGGTACGGTGTCCTCTTAATGCCTGGAACTCTTAAGTCCGTCGGTTGACTTGAGTAGACTTCATTTATTTGCGATGTTGGATGCTACGCTATTGAGTATATTATGTTTCAAAGCGTACATACATAGAAGTGTAGCAATATGCAAGGAACCATTTAATATGGAGAATCTTTGGTGCTGGGATCAGAAGATTCAAGGAAGGGGCTGACGACTCTATTCTTACGCATCTACCGAATGAATTCATATTATGAATTCATTAATTCTCTGATTGCAGCAAATGTTTACACTCGGTATTAATTACACTGGATAATATTTTCCATTAGTTTCAAAATATGCAACACCAAATACATATACCCGTCGATCACAACGTATAAGCGGAGATCTACCAACGACACCGCCACCATCGTTCTAACTTTGCCAGCAGTCCGCAGCCATCGCAAACTCGGCAAAGATCCGTGGATAAAACCGGGGACGACGCGTCGAACTTAACAAGCAGTCCTCGTTGGGACATTACGAACGATATCGAATAGAACCAACGAAATTCCCATCTTCGTTCATGCGAGGAGACCCATATCGGAGGGACAGAGAGAACCAGAACGATGCGTAGGAGCGACGTGCACGTCAGAGAAGGACAGGATAACACCGGTGGAATAGGTGTAATCGTTTAACGCGCACGATGGTATCTACACGGGCACCGCGCGCGGTAGGCGTGGCTTGTTAGCGCCATGCTGCCTGCCCGATTGGACGGCACGTTTCCAAGTTGGGCGGAGTCATCGGCCGGGGAGGGGATAGCGATACCTTTAGGGGTTTCGTTCCCCTCCACGCACCGTGTTACGTTTGTATACCGTGCCCACACGCATAAACGCGGGCATCGCGATCTATCGTTCGTGTATGGCTATCATGACTGTGTGGTGCGACAGAGTGGGGACGCTGCTTTGCTCCGAGGAGCAATTCCGGACAGGACTGGGGCGGAAGAGGTGGCGGTCGCGTCTGACGATCGCGAGGTTACTCCTCTATCGAGGAGGTGAGTCCACCACTACCACCACCACCACTACCACTGGCCGCCACCGCCGCCGCTACCACCACCGGCCCGTTCCGATCTATGCCACGGTCTCCTGACTTATGCTACGCCCGGCAGGGCCGCCAGTACACGATACGCTTCTACCAGGCGAGCACACCCGGGGTTCTCCGTGCTCTTACTCTCACCTCTACCTCTCTGTCTCTACCTCTCGGCTACCCACAGCCCCGCGAATCCGCGTTTTTCTTCCGCGACTGTGTCACCACAGCGGGAAAAAGTGTGCCCCACGGGAGAGGGAAACAGGCTCCAAAAGGTGAGAGGGGGGGATATCGTGGAGGAGGACGAAGGGGGGAGTGTGTGAGTGTCCAAGTGGGTTCAGTTTCCGCGCGCACGTGACGCGTTCCGATCGAGAAGCGCGTTTCGACGACCTCGTGAGCCGATATCATCCCCCCATCGGTGGTGCGTGTCCACACACACACACACATCCACACGCACGACATTTTTTTTTGGATGGTTGAACTGCGCTGTTGTCCGGTGTCACGTGATCGTGATTGTGACTTTAGTGGATCGTTAGCACCGGAGGAGTGATCAGGGAAGGATACGGTAAATATATCAGTGAGAGTGTGTACGACTACAGTTTAGTGATCAGAGGATAAATCTCGGTGAACTTGTTGGCGTCGAACGAAATGAGTGGTGGATCGCACAGATGTGACTATCGATTGAACGCGACGTTGGACAAGCTTCGATCGTCCAGAACGATTGAAGCAGGATCGTGATCGAGTTTGGTGCAGTGACAATTGACAAGTGTGTTCATGCGTGTGCATCGGGAAGAAAAGTGATTGATTGCTTTGTGTCTGGAGATTATTTTTCCACACCGCCGATCCAGTGAACTCACCGCTTGTCAATCCCACGAACCAGCAGAGAAGCTTCTGTCCAGCTGAGAAATGAGATTTCGTTACGGTAGGATCTACCGCGGCCCGTCACGGTACGAGACTGTCAGTGCACCAACGGTGATGATCCGATAGCCGGTATCTGGTTCGAACGTGTGACAGAAGTGATCAACACAACAAGCTAACCATAATTACGAAAGTGTAACCCAGTACTAAAATGCATATCTTTGTGCCTTCGAATGAATTTCCCATTGGTCGTGAGAAACCGCATGTTTAGCGATACCCAGTTTCCGGTACCAATGATACACATCTGTCACTGCAGCCCTTGACTGTTCACGAATGTGATCGACGACGACCAAGAATCCACCGTTTCCGAACTTCGAACGAGTTCTTCGGACGAAAATTTTTTCCCGTTTCCCGCGATCGAACGCGAAACAGGACAGTGCTATTCGTTATCAGGAAACAGCTGTCGCAGCTGCATCGTCCCGACGCCCAGCACCGGGGATTGGTAGCCGAAAGCTTGACGCCGGCAGCTGGTCAACCCCGTCAGTGACAGACGACGATGACGTAGCGTCGGCGGAAACGAAGGGCGTCACGGTCTGCACGGTGTACGCGCTGGACAGGACCGCCTCGGCGGGGCTGGGGGTGGTTGGGGGTGTTGTCGGTGTCGCTGGCGGTGGAGGAGGAGGAAGAGGAGGAGGCGGAGGAGGAGGAGGAGGGGGAAGTGGCGGCGGTAGCGGGAGCAACGTCGGGGGTGGTGTGCAGGGGGTGGTCGCCGGGATTTGTGGACCAGCGAGTGCGTCCCTCGCGGCGGCCGCGACGGATTACGTGACGTCGGCATGCTATCCCCCGGGATCACAGCTTGCCCTGACCGCCTCTCACCCTCAGCCCCACGTCGTTGATCCCGCGATGACGCCGACCTCGGCGCCGGTGCCGACACCGACCACGGCGTCGGGACCCAACAACCCGGTCGCGATGAGCCAACTAGGAACCGTTTATGCCACCAAACGAAGACGTCGGAATGGGAAAAGGTTGGTGGTATACCCTATAATACGCTACGAATACTTCATTGAACATCCCTCGCGGGTTTGTGGCTGGGAATAAAAAGAAACCGAACGTGGTGGAGAAAGAAGTTAATGATAAGAATGATTAGAGTAGGCGGTAGCGATTCTCTCTCCCTCGATTACACGTTGTCTCGCGTTCACGTTGGAAAATTGTCGAAGGAAAGTGGGGGTCGCAAAAGCGCTAATTTGTCAGCCATTGAATAGAGAAACGATAGCCACGAAGTATCGTGACGCGGTGCATATACAATTCATGTGACTAAAGCCGGTGCTAATGGGATCGGGGGTAGGGTGTTTGCGGGTGTAAAGCGTGCCCCGATGTGCCAGACTTAACGCTGCCAGGCCGCTTCAAAGACGTACCATTTCATCCGATTCAACTCTTGGACAGAGGGGCATGTAGCCGGTGTTTTTCACATGGAGTCTTATTGATTATGCGCTAATGCGACACGCTATGCATCTATAGGTCATAAATTTAGTACTCGTAGCGGGGGAATAGTCATTATTCCGCTCAAGGTGGAATACGGGTGGAAGTATTTTAGATTCCGTTATACCGACCGGTGTGGGCGGATTGGAAGAGTGCAGGGCAAGTGCAAGGAAAGAGCACACTGTATAGATCTCCATTAATTATCTGAAGGTTAAGGCAAAGTTTCCACTTTGACTTTACACGAAGCCAAGTGAAATGCAGACCATCTGATTAGGAGCAATTAAAACACCTGGTGTGTCGAATGTTCATTGCTGGAAGCATTCTACACAGTGGACACTTGAGCAATTAACACGATCTTCTGTAACTTGTTGAAGTGACGAGTGCTGTAGACAAATAGAAACATAGGGGTGAAACTTTCTACATTCATCTTGCGTGAAACAGAGAAATATACCTGCTATCTATTCTTTGGAGATGAGGTTTGTGCTCTCCAAGAAATGGCAAGATACTCAAGGAAAATATCTGGGATAGCGAGTGTGATCCACGATTCTGAATTTCTCCCATAACACGGAAATGCACGCGAACGCACGTGCGCTTGAACGCGACACTTGGTTGCGCGGGGGTATCAGACGCGCATAAGTATAGCGCGTTGGTGCGCAGGACACACGATACATATACGTGTATAATGTTCGATACATCAAGAGAAAGATAGACCGGGGATAACCGGTGCTAAGCTGACAGAGACGGAGTGCGGCACTGATTGCGAGGAAGGGGGTGTAGGGGAGAGGGCAGAACCGCCCTGTGGCAAAGGAATATCCGTCTGAACTTTACTAGAATCGTTTGCATACGTTGCTCGTAATTAGCTGAGATATACCCGAATGAGCGTTAACTTCCTTTTTTTTTCTCTCTGTCTTTTTATCGCGTCCACTGTACACACTGCCTGGGGGGAGAGAATAGGAATCGCGGAAGGTGGGGGTGGCACGGTAAGACGTGTTTCGTAGTGTTGCGTCGCAAGACCGCCATTTTTGTAGGTTGGGGGTCAACGAGGCAGGACGATCTCGGGATATAGACAAAAGTGTCCACGAAGTTTGAAATGAGTTCCCGCGCGATCGATTAAGTTCGAACTCAGGAAAGATTACGTTCAGCTTACAAAGCCAAGGAAAAAAGATATCGACCGAGTTTTACAATTATAATTACGATTGTTTATCAACAAACCGGGATGCATATTCATAACGCGAGTGCGGTGGCAAGGCGCATAAAAAAGACGCGTGACATAATCGACCGATAGGGTAATTTAAACCAACATTGCCGCTTTATTTTAATGACTCACGTTCCTCGAACGTATTTTACATTTGTCGATATCTGTATTTCACCGTATTATGAATATTTTCCCGTCGGATATGTATGTTAGGCTTTCACGACACGGAAAATGTACATACATAACTTCATTTTCTTCTGGCGAATGAACACGTTCCATCAGAGCATGATTTTTTTCACCTTAGCTTGAAATTCACTATTCAAGACAGTTAGCAAAATGTGTTATGCACAAATTACTTTATTACTGAATCCTACCGGACCCTCCTCCTCTAGCCAGACAGTTTCATTGTTCCACAGTTTAACTTTGTCCAGTCGCTCCGGCGAACGAACAAAGGCGACAGGGTTGATCCCCTGATCGTTCCTTGATCCTTCAAGGATTCAGGGAACGTGTCACGTCCGACGATCGACGGGTTGGTTCGCAGATCGAGCGCGGGAAGCCCTGGACACAACAGCGAACTTACGTCGTGATCCCGGTGATCACGGACGGGCATAATGGAGTTTTAAACGGTGTTTCGAGGTGTACGGCCGACGATTCCCCTCTCGTTTCTACCCGTCTGCTTTCCTTTGATACGATAAAGAAGAGAAGAAAGAATGAGACGGGCTATCCGGCAGAGAATGGCTCGGGGCGATCTGTCTGGTTCATTCTTCGCTTCTTCCTTGGCTCCTTCAGCTCCTACGGATCTAAGGAGTCCTTCCCTCGGGCTTGGGTGATTCTAGGCGAATGAGTGTTTAGGGATGCGTATGTTCTGCACATCCGCTATGGTTCTGTGCTTAATTCTTGCTGTTGACACTGGGCTGATAACTTGAAGACGTGTGACAGAAACAGTTCAATTGATCCTCCAACATTAGCTATGATGTAGTGGGTAGAGTTGAGTAGAGTAATGTGAGTGGAATTATCGGGAAGTGTCGCGCTCCGCAGCGAAGTGTTTGATACCTAACGATCCACAGCATAGGGGGCGCGGAGTGGCGAGTTTCCCAAAAATTCCCGAGGGTTCGGGGAAGATGGTGGCCCCGCGATACACAGTGTTCGCCGTTGCCTAATGACAGCAGCTTCTATAATTTGGAGTTTTTGAGCGAACGGCCAAATTACCGGTGAAGGAAGGGATTACTGTTATTACACGCGGCCGCGGACTCAGTCGAAACCTGATTATACTTTAGTCAGTCTCTCTCTCGATCTTGACTCGTTCGACTGTCAGCTTCGCTCTCGTTCACCGTGAAAGTGGGAGGGGGAGGGAAGGGCTCTCGATTTCTTCGAGGGCTCCGCGATCCCTCGAACGACCCTTCAACCGCGCAACCCACGTTCCGCCGAATTTACCGGTTTTCCTTTTCTCGAATGTTAACGCTTGAGAATGCAGCCCCGGTGAAACACATCCGTTTTCATGATCCATAATCCATCTCTCTCTCTCTCTCTCTCTCTCTCTCTCTCTCTCTCTCTCTCTCTTTCTTTCTCCTCCGTTCGCATTCCGATAATTGGCGTTCCGCGATTCTAATTCAAAAAGCGGTCGAAGTTCTCGATTTCACGTTCGCAACATGCGATCTTTTAATTACGCGGACTGACCGACGGGGTCCACTAACAGGGGGCGCGTTCTGAAATTGCCACGAGAGAGCAACTAAAGAACCATTCACCAAGAGGTCGATGATTTCTTGATGGACAGCAGCCGTCGTGCCGGGTTTCGGCTGATTAGTTCTTAAGTAATTGCCGCGCATCCTTATGGCCTTCTAACGTGCGTTTATAGCCTTGTAATGAACCTGCTTCTGAGACCTTTGTTCCATTCAGCCGGCCAAAGATCTTCGGACGGACCTTAGTGGTTCACCGGAGGATGTTCGGTTGTCCATTAAGAGTTTAGCTTTCGTTCTTATGAACGTATATACGTATATACATATAGCGTTTATAGAAAATTGAGGATGAAGAGTTTAGTTTCTATCCTCGACGTTTCTCAGGATCTGTCTAAAATTTATAATCGAGCTATGATCATTCTGTTATTGCCCGTTGAACAACGAAATATATCGAATAATTGTTGTTTCGCGAATGAATTTCGCCTGGGTCAGGTCCCTACCAGGAGTGATTTATCTCGCGGAAAGCAGAGTCAACACAGCCCCGACGGGGAACGACGAGTTAGATATCGTACGATCGGGGCAAGATTTAATTCCGTAGCCGAAGGAGGATATCGTTTACCTACTTTCTACGTCGCAGCGAGCACAAGCTGTAATTTAATAGACTCCCCTCGCGTTAGTCGGCGCCGTGATGCGTTTCGCTCGTGCGAGAGATATGTATAGCTCCGAGCCCGCGACAAGACCATTATTGCTGGAACACTCATAACTCCCGTAACCAGCCACACCCAACAGATTTAACACCTCGTATCCAATTATAACGATGCCCCGTGTCACGCTTATAATTGGTGCCCCATTACATATTGCCCTATCGCTTCCGACCCTGGTACTGTGGCCCTCTGTCTCTCGTCTTCTTTGGGTCGAAGTTTCGACTGTTCTGGATCCCACCCATTTTGATGCCTCACTCCAGAGAGTAACGTATCCTTAGACAGTGCTGTCCAGACCCTAAGATTCTCTTAAGATATCTTTGACAGTCGAACAACCTTTGCTTATTCTTAGTTTAGGTTATTTTACCGGCGGTCATTCGTCTTTTGAAAAGATTCAGTCAATCTCAGGTATATAGATATCGTTGCAAGCGAGTTCTGCTCACGTGAAACAAAGTGTCCACGAAGGGAACAGGGATACAGGTTGGCGAACGAGCCGATTAAACAATCGGCGGGATGCACGGTGCATCATCCACCCGCGATCGGGGCTGCTGGCCCCTTCGGGGCCCCCGGCCAATGGTGAATGGGCCGCACAGCAAGGAATATCCGTCCTCGCGGTTACAGCACCGTGAATAGAGCCATAACGAAGTGAAACGTGCAGGTGAATTTATGCCGCAGGAACGGACGAGCGCCGTTCTCGTTCTCCGCCTTGCTGTTCCTGGCGACCTGAAAGGCGACCAGTGTGTAGACCAAGAAAAAATGCAAAAACGGTCGTGGATTTAATTAAAGGTTAGGGGTCCGATCACATTCGGTCGCGTTAGGTTTTATTGATTAAGAGCAACTCTGATTTCTTTATGTATATTGTATTCTAGTGGAGAATAGTCTCTGTTTTATTTTCTTTAAAAAGATATCATCTTTCCAGTAGACAGTCATTGGTTACCCTCAGTAAAGGTGTCCTTAAATATGTTTCATCGCGA